GGGGGGGGGGGGGGGGGGAAAGAGAGAATAAAGCAGGGAGCTAGAAATGACGAAACTTCTCTCTCACACCGGCTTTAGCGACATGCTTGTGCTGCACTGGAGCCATTACTGCTAAACATAAACAACAGTCCTTCCCTGAAGATGATACGGTCGTTTGAGTGGTGTGAATGGAAAATCTCTGGGCCTTCAGCTTCATTATAAACAGTATCGCTGAAGGTAATGGAAGTACACTATGTTACATACTGGAGGTTCTGGAGAGAGCGATGAGACCCTGACACCCAGACGTGATAACGCAAACACCGGGTTGGGATTTCTCCACCAACATCTGTGCTGTGGGATAAATCATTTGAATAATGTATGTTCCTCTGCTCCTGACCCTCTTCATACAACCAAAGTCCGGTTGACATGTGATTATTTTGAGAGGGAACACGTGGTTTGAAAAGGTAGGTTGTGCGACAGTGAAACAGGATTCATTCCGACCTCGTTTCGCTTGGTTTGCAAAGTTCTGGAGTTGTGCTGCAGTCATCGGACACCTCAGACAGGAATCGTAGCTGTTTGCCTTACCACCTGCAGAGAAATACACAACAATAAAACAGCATTATTACAGGAGATTGTAGAGTTGTTTGGTTTAATTGCCCTGTGTTAATTAGTCCCATGTTTGTAGTCCGTGCGACTGTTCAAGGAGACATACCAAGCTTATTTTCTGGTGCATACTTGTATTTTGGGGTTTCTACTAGTACATGTTTACATGCTTTAATGTTCACAGAACACTATTTTTAAGGCCCCCTTCTGGATTCCGTGTAAATCGTTAGGTCCTAATAAAGGTGCAAAATTACCTCATCTGATATGAAATCCAAGATCAAATCTGACCCACCTGTTTTACTCCTGTTTTCTGATAGACACAGCAGGAGAAAAAAAAAGGATGGTATTGGTACATTTCCATAATATGTCACCTGAACATATCTCAACTGCTCATTCCAGGCTGCTGAGCATGATTGGCGGAGGCTCATCACTCGTATATTAGTCTAATTGGCTCTCAGAAACTCACTTACTGCCAACTCCCTGAGCAGCTTCCTCACAAATTATCATTTTATCACCCACACACACACACACACACTTGTGTCATCAATCGCCTTCATTTCTCCTCATTCCACCGCTCCTGATTTAGTGTGTTTGCGTGCATCATCTGTTCAGGTGGTTTACCCAGCTCCGTGGTTGATTCCCGCGTCTGTTTGGCCAAAAGCTCCGTTGTCTGGAGGTGCTGGGTGAGGCCGTGCCCTTGGTGAGTCAGCCTGTCGACCAGAAACCTGGTCTGATCTGGGGAACCACGAGGCCAATCCCTGGGGAACTAGAGGGTTCAGAGAGGCAGGGGTCAAGGACAAACACGCCGGGTATCAACACTGAAAGTGTATTCATCGAATTTGTGCAGAGTCTTGACAGTCGCACTCTGCTGCACAGCGGTGCTCAGTGGAATTGTAACTGCGACAACAGAGTACGTTTCCAAACTCAACAGCATGGAAAACAAGTGCGAGGCTTCCAGCTCATTCCGACCGGCTTCACTAGAAAAAGGAAGGATACCGTAGCTCTCATTCTGTCCACGAAGTGACTCCGCCCAGGCTCAGGTTTCCTTTGTACGGAAACAACTTTGTCCCATAGCCTAAAGATCGTGTAAAGAGAAAAACTTAGTATGCAAACAGAAACTGTTGAATCTGCTCCAAAATGTATTAAAAAAAAAAACTGGCTTTGGTCACCTGTTTTGCTTGCTCTTTAGAGATCTCCATTTCACTGTTTGTTTAGAAACCTTCCTGTCATGAAGGAAAGGCAAACTGAATGATTATAACAGCAAATCAATGTTCACCCCCGAGTCCGACAAAGTGTGGTTTTCTTTGTGGTCCAGTTGTGTAAAAACATACCCATTCAGCAGAAGTGAACCGTGAGCTCCAGGCTCCTCTGTTTGTGAAACTCGCACTGTGTTATTAGAAGGAGTGGAGACAGCCTGCTGTGGTTTCCTTGCCGCCTGGTGATCCACGACCCCAGCTGAAGACATAAGACAGCTCTGGGTTATGTTTCTATGAATTGTGGTTTTCCAGGATAGCGGCTATAGCTGAAGGTTTTTGACCCCAGCATGGAGGGCACTGACGTACCGGGCTTTTTGTGCTCTTTTGAAGCGGCAGATTTAGAGGCCGATCTGGACGTGGACTGATTTCCTTTAGAAGCAGAAGCCTGCGTTCCCTCTTTGCATGCGACAGCTGTAGTGCTGTATTGTTTGCTCAAGGTTTTTTTAGAACATCCTGTGCCAGTGCGGACTCGAAGGGCTTTCTCCAGGGCTCGCTCAAGCATTTCCATATCTTCTTTTTCCCCTGGTGAGCTATCTGTATCTGTGAAGATAGCAGCATGCAAACACGTGGTTAGTTATTTTATCAATCAACCTGTCTCCGGATACGTGAACAGAACATTTGCACATGACTGCATTAATATATAATACAAACACATTTTTTTTTTTTTTTTTTTTTTAATTACCTGTAGCAGCTTCATTTGCACACTGGTTCTCATCAGAGCCCGCCTGTGGTTGTGGCGTTCTGCGGGAAAAGACTTCATGTGACTACACACTTAAAAGAATCAAGAGGAGCACAATCCATTCAATTTGGGCAACAATATATAATAAGAATAAATAACATTTGCACAACCTGCTCGTTACGAGGTGTTAAGAGGAAAATCCCACGATGTAATTGTTCATTGATAGACTTTTCTGTTAATAGAATTGTACTATCTAGATACACATTATAGTGTGTACTTTGAATTGCATACTATTGTACGTATCTTTGGCTTTACTGCCCGACAATTTATTGTTAATAATAAGTCACCATTTGCGCAGAAGTGACAAATCAGCAATGAGGAAACTTGGGCAGAAATGTTGTGCTGGAAAAGGCACTGCTGGGATTTGAACCCAGGATCTCCTGTTTACTAGACAGGCGCTTTAACCATCTAAGCCACAGCGCCAGATGGGTGCACCATCTAATATATCTTCACTGTTATATCATTTATAAATCATTTTTATTTGACATGATTGAGTTGTTAACTTCCGATGAGTTTGTTTTAAATGGGATTCTGCGGACATGTGAACTCGTGAGCACCGGGTAATCAATGTGGTGGATGCCGTTACTTACCGGGTCTGTAATAGTTCTCTGTAGAGTAGAATGCTGTCGTTAATCTTGGCTTGTTCAGCTTTGCAAGACTTGATCGCTTGCTCAACCAGGGACAGCAGTGACATGCTCGTGCACGCAAGAAACCACGAACAACTGTTTAACTGTTGGTTTAAAACTCTGCATTAAACGTTTGCAAACATTTACTGAAACTACCAATTTATCGCAAAGGTATGGAATGTCTCGTTGGTTGACGGCTTCCCATTAAAACAACGAACTTTTTCGTGCAGACGCGCGGAATCTAAACTGTAGCGGATGCGGAAGTCACGTTTATCCGTTCTCACGTTAAAAGTTCTCACTTCTCGCGAGAAGTGTTGTCGTTACCAGGGACGTGGGTTGCCAGTGCACAACAGCTCATTTGTACCCTGTTCGCACCATGCTTTCTCTCTGTTTATGTGTACATGTAGATTGTAGGCTATATGAAATTCAGTGTCACTGTTTCACCAGGAAGAAAGATGAGAAAAAATGAATGCTTGCATCTTTTATTAATCGGGTCCTGCTCATACTTGATTTAAATGTGTCATGAAGTGTGAATTAGGCTACCAGTTGCAAATGATTAGGCCTACTCTAAAGAGCACTGCTTGTCATTTTGATAACAACAATCATTACATTTTGTCAGTATGTTCCCAAGCAGCCTGTTTAAATCTCACCGTGAGTTACAGTTATTAAGAATAGGATATGACTAACTCTGGGATAATTTGTTGTTGATTTATGTAACACTGTAAATGGTCCAAATGATTCAGATCCTCTTGTTGGCCATGTGCAGTGAAAGCGAATCCATCGGATTTGAGCACTCATCTGGAGCGGCTTTCTCGCAGAAGCACCAGTGAAGTAGGTTCATTTCACAGCTATCAGTTGTTATTGATATTAGACATGATAAATAAATGGTCTGTAACATTATACAGTTATTAACTTTTCACACAGCAGAAACGTTGGCTTCTCAAGCACAGGTGTAACTATTGACGTGAATAATGGCTGCATTATATGTATTGTGCATGCTGGCTTACTGGCACATCAAAAAGGGAGCAACGCCATAATTAATGTCATATGTTACACCTGTGCATTTCCTACAAAGGTCAACTTTAGTTAGTTTGTTGTACATGCTGTCTATCAGAAAAGTAAATACAAACAAAATATCTGGGGCAATGTCACAATCAATTAGAAGATCAGTGCCTCCATTTTATCAGCCAGTAACAAGGAGCGTTGTTACTAACGTACTACCTCATGTTCATGTGTAGCTAAACATTCATTTTTCCTTATGAGTTTATTTTATATTCTTGTCATTTTTGTATCTCTTTTTGAACTCGTGTACTGCTTTCATGTTTCCCTCATCAGAGACACATTTATTCGGCTTTTCTGATTGCCATGATGTAATCAAAAGCATCAGATCACAAGTGCTGCGTCAATGAGTGGTCCGGTGAAATGGACCTCCTGCTGCATTTCATCTGAGGCGTGTTTATACGAGTGTTTTTGATGTCCAAGGCATCAGCATATCTCGCATATGGGGTCCTCGGCAGACCAGCGTGACAAACAAAACCAAATTGCAGCAAAACAGAGTCAAAGAATCCTTCAGTGAACATGGTTGCCAAACATTTTGTTTTGTGAGTTTCTCATCTATAAATGGACAAATTAGCATCCAAGAGGATATCAAGTTTGCCAATTTTCCCCCAATTAGAGCGTTTAGTTCAGTGATTGTTCTGCATCACTGGCACAGAATCACTTCCCAAAGCAATTTATTGTAATGACAACAGCTTGCTGGCCCTGTTGGAGGGAAGTGAATCATCTTTACCCCCACCAGCCTTCTGTGGCTCAGTAGTAGAGCGAGAAAGGGGGGGGGGGGTCTCAGCTGCCACGCCAACCAAGCATCTGACATTGCAGCCGGCTGCCAGACTAATAACAGGCTTTGACGCACACACACACACACACACACACACACACACACACATATACACTTTCTCTTCCCCATGCATGTGAGCATAGACACCCTGACACACACACACACACACACACACACACACACACACAGCATACACACATGATTAGATACTCGCTACATGCAATCATTAACCCGGTGGACAATCTGCTCAGCAAACAAACAACTACCCCCTACATAATTAATGAGCAGCATGTTTGAAACATAATGTAAACAAAACACCTGAAAAACTAGGCCTGTAATTGGCAGAATAACCCAACAGCACATCGTAAACAGGGTGACAGGAAGGAAGCTTGTTTTGTTTGTTCCAGAAGGACATTGGTCAACAATGTGTTTGGGGTGTGTGTTAATCTGGAAGCCCTCTGTATTTTCACAGTACACTCCATGTTTACACTCCACTGCCAAGCTAATGCCCGCTCCAGTTTTGCCCCCTTTCACCTCTCCAAATCTAACACCTTCAATTAATTTTTTTCTTCAGCTTTTCAAAAGTGTTTGACTCAACAACAAGCATTTTGGTATCGAGATCTGTTGTGGATCCAAACTCCTCCATTTAACTCCATAAAAATAGCTTCATCTTATCATTTCTTGGTCTTTGGATCTGCTGAATTTGTAAATTTGAATTTTAAAAGCGTTAGAAAAATAACAATAGAAAATACAAGGTATGAGCCTTGTGTTGACAGACATGTGTCTACTGAAGCGTCCACAATCGAGTCAACCTGGCATAGTTTCAAATCTGTTGACGCGGTCTTCAGGCAGCCCTGTGGAAAGAAGGAAAAAGAAGAGTGACTGACCAAGGGTCACTCTCTACTGACACTCCATACAATCCATAAGAACTAAGCCATGTTAAACGACACTGCAGCATCGTCATAACAAAGAAAATTGCATATCAACAATCCTGTCATGTTATACTGTATAAGAACTACATTTTTTTTTTTCAGTGGCACCAGAGAGCCAGAAGGTATTCAATTTCAGAGTTCATGGATTTCTATTGATGGAATAATGTTTCCAGGAAAAATCAAAAACATCTCATGCACAATATAAACAAACACAATCAAGTGTTATTACACAATTTCTTTACTTTCCGTGTATTCAAACTATTTGTGAAACAGAAACCTGCCGAACCAGATTTGCTTGATGTGAATGCCATCTTGTGGTTATTTTCTTCTGGTCTGCTGATGTGGTCTTAGACCTTTGTCTTGGTGATGATTTTGTAGTTTATGGCTTCTTGTGATGTGAGAGGTATGATTCAATAATACCGGTAACATTTTACACTAAGTCAATACTACCAGTAAACTAGCACACTTGGTATTCATTACCGTGTGGATTTTGCACCAGCAAATGATCAAGTATCTAGTATATATATGTACAGTAGCACAGCCTGTTACCTTAAGAGACACAGTTTTTTGTATGATTATCTAAATGTCGTATTGTTTGTGTGTTTCATACAATAGTTTACATTGACTTGATCACTGTACCTGTTTACCAATAACCATTTTGTTTTTTAAAATCATATGATTATGTCCATTATCATGCCATGACTTATTTTTTTACCAATATGACATGAAGCTGATTTGTATTGTAATGAAGTTTAAGTACGTGGAGGATTTGTTCTTGTGACGTTAAATACATTTAGTTCGTTGGTCACATGGGTCTTTTACTTAATTCGAGGCACCCAAGTGAGATGTTTGGCCTATTGACCACCGATATTATGAAGTCTTTCTAGTTGGTTTATGGTAGGCCTATTGTTATAGGCTATGTGACTCTTTAGTCATACTGGTGTTATTCACTTTTATTTGTTATTAAACTCATGGTCGATCTCATGATCAGAAAAAAATGTGAGAAGTTTAATTCATTGTACTCCACTGCACTCCCTTAAGTATGACATTGCTGTTTGTTATCTACACCTTTTAACTCCAACATCCTCTCTGCACTAAAGAGAGACACTCACATGTATGATGTCTGGGTTAAGCTGCATAACGCTGCAGCAATTTATGTTGCTTTCCTGCGGCACCAATCTTTTATTGCTTACAATAATACAATACAAGTATCATAAGTAGTATATTGGTGGTACGACAGTAAGTCGTACAGTAGTTGTCATTTGGTAGCTGTTTACCAATTTGCGTCCTCAGCACTTCCTGTGGGCACGCGCCTGACAGCCAGCAGCCGGGTGGGGGCGGAGTTAGAAGTGCAGTTCAGTCCTGAATCTACAGCCTGATTTGTAGTTAAACACGGCCAGGCGGACCGCTCTGTACACTCTTGGGGTGAAGGTTTGTAATGTCAATATGATACCAACGCTTTCTAACCTGTTAATATAAACTTAAATAGGTGAATAAACACCTCGAGCCTGCAATGTAATGTGACGTTAATGCCCGCGCATGAAATCTTAAGTCTGTTTAGCTTGTTGGAATGCTAGCTAGGTGTTAGCTAGGTTAGCTAGCATCATCCAGCAAAGTTAGCTGTTGTTGTCAGAACGAGGCTCCTAACAGGTTAGATGACGTCGGGACCAACTAACAAGACGTGCATTCGTATCTCGATGAATGGTGGCTCGAGGGGGAGGGGGGGGGATTTCTGATTACATTGAGGAACTGAACTGGATTTAAATCACTAGAATAACTCGCCTCATACAACACCAGCTATTCTTTGGGACTTATGGTAAACGCCAGAAGGGCCTGCGTTGTGTTGCATTTGCTGCTTTTGTGTTTGGCTGCATATAGTTCATGCCTGGATGTTTTAAAAGCAGCAGTTCCCATGTAAATCAAGCCAGCCCCCACCAGACTGCATTAGCTTTCACTCTGACTTTGCCTTATCTTCCTCTCGGAGTAAATAAGGTCAAAGGCTTAGCAGCTGAATTAACTTACTGCCATCTTTTGACCCTCACACCAGTGACAACAGTGATTAGAATTAGGGGGGGGGGGGTGTTATCAGCCCCCCCATCTGTTTCCTGATTTGACTGTAATTGGCAATTCACTGTGATTGTGGTTTTTTCTACATTCTGCTCTGTGGCCTTTTTCTCCCTGCCGCTGGACAAGTTTGAAGTACTTTGTAGTGTGTGTATATATATATATATATATATATGTTGCCCCTATAGGTTGTTATTGCTTCAGTGCACAATACCTCGGACCTCTAGAACCACAGGGGTCTCTGCAGCGTGACATTGTTCCTTGTTTATTCTGAAAACCAGTTACACAATATTGACTCGGGAGACTCATTTCGACGGCTACAACTAAAGGTCAAAGTAATGATACATTATGCAAGCTTGCATATGTTACTGACTGTTGCGTATGCCTTGATCCCACCTGTAGCAATATACTTCAAATATAAACATGTTTTGTCAAGATTCCTATGTACAATCTGATGAAGCTAAATTATGTAATTTGAATGTAAATAATGCTGATTTGCTGACTGATTCTAGGGAACTAAGAGACAGAAACACACCACTAATGTCCGTAGAGAAGATGGAGACAACAGCCAGTGTGTCCAATGGAGCAGGGCCTGTATATGAGGGAAAAGAAGATGCTCTCAGGTAAAATCTCCCACCAGTATTGTGACATGATATTCATGTTTGTTGTGGTTCTGTCAAACACACATTATACCCCTTATTTTCTCTTCTTTTTCTTCCCCAGTCCTGAGGATCTGTCTGAGGTGCTGGCAGCTGGGACCAAGGAGGTTCACGAAAAGGCTGAGAACACCCAGTTTGTGAAAGACTTCCTCAGGGGACGCATCCGCAAAGAGCTCTTCAAGGTCAGTCTGAAGAAAATCAGTGAGGAATTGTTACAATTTAAAGGGATAGAGTGCTAAACAAGATGCGTAAATAAATGTAATAAATATGTAGGTTATAAAAAGAAGCAACAAAAACTGGAAAAAAGGAGATGGCCAATATTACATCGTAACTTTTCCTTCTTGCTTCCCTAGCTTGGTGCCGTGGCGCTCTACTACACGTATACAGCCATGGAGGAGGAGATTGAAAGGAACAAAGAGCACTCCCACTTTGCCCCTCTGTATTTCCCGACAGAGCTGCACCGCCACGAGGCCCTGGCCCGTGACCTCGAGTACTTTTATGGCCCCGACTGGCAGAGCCAGGTCCGCTGCTCCCAGGCCACCCAGCACTACGTGGACCGCATTCATCAAGTAGGCCAGGAGGACCCGGTTCTGCTGGTGGCCCACGCGTACACCCGCTACATGGGGGACCTGTCCGGGGGGCAGGTGCTGAAGAAGGTGGCGCAGAGAGCCATGAAGCTGCCGTCCACGGGGGAGGGCCTCGAATTCTACCAGTTCGATGGCATCCATAGCGCCAAAGCATTCAAGCAGCTGTACCGTAGTCGGATGAACGAGCTGGAGCTGGACATGGAAATGAAGAAGAGGCTGGTAGACGAGGCTGTCAAGGCCTTTCAGTTCAACATGGAGGTAAGGGGCCGGGGACGAGGTCTCGGGGTTAAACTACTGTCTGGTTGTTTCGTCCATGAGCAGTTGCTAGAATACAGAGTCTGCAACAAGCCTGATAACAGCAGTGACTGTGCGTTTGTGCTGGCAGGTGTTCGAGGAGTTGGAAGAGATCGGTAAAACCATCCAGGAGGACGTGTTGGACGCTGGCATGCCAGTCCATGGAGCAATGGGTGGAGACATCAACAAGTGTCCCTACTATGCTGTCAAAACGGGTACGCTTTGATGCTTCTCTCTGCAGCACTGTGTCACGATGAAGCTTTTTGTAAAGGTGTTGTGGTGGGGGGGGATCTTGTTTAAGTTTGTTTTTTCGTGCTCCCTCAGCGGCGTCTGGTGGAACGGCGTACGCCTCCCAGCTCGCCATGGCTGTCCTCCGACACCCGACCGGACAGGTGCTGCTCGCTACGTGGTTCGCCGCTCTGGCCGGATTGGCTGCGTGGTACCTGATGTGATCCGGCCTGCTGCTGTCAGAGAAAGGGAGGAGAACGGACTGTAAGGAGTGCTAGAAAAGCTCCATCCAGTCGTAGACCATTTCGTAGTTTCACACAAACATTCTGAACAGGTCCAAGTTTATTTTATGTTACGTGTCTGACCTAAACGTGGAACCCGATTCTTGTCGAATGGAATTCCCGTAAAATGATCCGTAGGACCATTTAGGTCGTCGCCTCCAGCCATCCACCCATTAAGCTCCGCCTTGTTACCATTCATCCTCCTGTCTTTTTATTTCTCTACCTCCTCTGCACTATCCCTCCATCCTTCACACTTCCAGTGTGGAAGCGCACGATGCTAACACCTAATTTATTGTGACGTTACATTGCCTCCCAATTTAAAAATGTACCTGCCAGGTTGAGAAGCATGGTGACGTAGAGGCTGCCCATGTGTAATTAAACGGTGACAATTCGTTAACTGTGATGAATGGATTATCGACATTCATTCATGGGGAAACATACTATGCATATGGTATGCATGGCGTGAGTATAATAGCACAGTGTGTCTTTGCTGGGCAGACTGCTGAGTTGATGTTGAATGAGGCCTTTATTTTATAATCTTAATTTGACCAGAGAGAAAGGAAGTAATGTATGAGTCAATAATACTACAGTATTTTTTTTTTCACTTCTACACATTGATTGAAGTTCCAACGACAACATTAAAACACAGTGCAGTTCTGTTCCTTTTTTTTAAATGCATGATCACATTTCACGATTCAAACATTGCCTCAAATATTTCCTCATCGTTTGTACAGGTCGTACTATGAGACGGGTGATAGAATAACAATACAGCACACCTACACTTCAACAAGTGTACGATTAATAAACACCTTTCAGTGATTATACCACGTATTTCAAGCTCTACTAATGCATGTTCAAATGTACTATGTCTCTGTTTCTGAATTATATGATATGGCATCTTGTATTTATGAATAACAAACTGCCTGTTGTATATGCATACCTTAACTATACAAGATGGATGATTCTGTTTGACCTGCCACAGGAGCCTATATTAGGACAAAGGGGTTCACAGATGTGATTGCAGCTGTTTTAAAAGGAAATAATATTTTTTTTCTAATGTCAAAGATTGTCTATATGAAGGCTAAATGTCTAGGGTGGTTTATGAAGAACTAGGTGAGGTACTTATATGTATGTCCTTTAGCAGCCCAGTTCTTGCTTACGTATCCATTTGTTATGGATATACCAGCATGCATCATCACTAAAACTACGTAACCGTAATTCATTTTGTGTTCATGCTGTAAGCGTGGGATCAACTTTCCCAGTAATGCACAACCCTGTCCTTTAAACACAGATGAGGAGGAATATATTGTTCCGCGTGGACTGTTTTGCAGTGTATTAAGAAGCTTCCTGTGCTTTGTGTATTTGCACATGTTCTCACATAATGTACAGTTTGGCTGCACGGTATTCTTTCATTAGAAAAAGTCATTGAGAGTCTAGCAGGCATGGAGACCGATGTGATGACGCGGTTGAGAGTCTCAGGTTAATGTTGAAGGCAGATGGCAAAACAATGGAGGAAAAGTACAGGGACCGCTTTAGCTCAATGGCCATGTTTTATTTTTCGATGCCAGTGTGATGTGTCAAAATGCTGCAGTGCATTTGGGATGTACTGAGGGGAAGATTTCTATACATCTCGGGAGATTTGGTCATTGATTTAACCTTAGATTACACAGAGTGGGATGCGTGACTAATTCATTTTGATTTAGACTTTGGTTTTATTAACTCTGCTCTTAATCCCTTCGTGTGTCCAACTGGACAAAGCTTTATAGTGTTTTGCGAGAACTCTCCCATTGTATGAGAGTGAAACCCCAGGAGTGTGTTGTGCCGTCTATAATGAAATAAATCCTCTTTTCCTGTTCACTGAAATGAAGGTGATTCATTGGGACTGGTGTTTTGAAATTGCAATAAAAATCTTAAATGATTATGTTCAGTGCATACTTTGGTTTCTCGGCACAGACCTTGAGGGCTTTCACACATTTGTCAGCATTACATCAATAGTAATAACATAGTAATAAACGGTTTCACATTTTTACTAGCTGTGCTAGCCATGTTGGTCGGAGGCTTAGACTTCTGAAAAGATAATATATTTTGGTATAAGAAATAAATGCTAGTAATGGAGAAATGACATTCCCATCAGCCTCAGCTGCATCTTGCTAAAATGCTAACGGTCAAACGTTAGCATTTTAGCATCGTCACTGTGAGCTAAGTTAGCATGCTAACAAAGCCCCTCTGTGTAAGTTGTGCCCCGTGGCGCAGCCTCACAGGCCTGAGAAGTTGTTGGAGAAAGAATGTCCACAGAACATCACTTTGAAAGAAATTGCTAATAGATTTATTCAAAAGTAAAATGCAGGCTCGTTTATTTAATACACAGCAACTTTAAATCTAATCTAATACAACAGCTCTGCAAAAACAATAATCCCATCTTTGTGGTGTTTATTTTCTTTGTCGAGGCAGGTAAGTGTTTTGACTGCATTATATTTGTATCTAAATGAAGATGAACAAAATGTGTTTTCATATATTCAAATCTAGATGGAGAGAAAGCACTGAGTGCCGTTTCTTTAGTGGTTTCTATACAACAGGCTTTTCTCAGACCATTAGCTTTATTATAGCAGTACAGCACATCTCTTCTATGAGACACATTGAAGCAACTGTGTGATGCACAACAATGTACAAATGTAATGAAGGTGCAGAATCCTCTCTCGTGATGCAAAGGGTTGGAAGAGGGACAGAGTTCGGTCATCAGTCATCACAGTTCAGGAAACCGAGACAAAATTAAACTTTCCACAGCAGACAGCTCTGTAGTGTCCAACACCTGAACTCAATGGTAAACATTGAGTCCGGTGATGTTCAACCTGCGAGGACCGACGGCACCGAGACCTTTTGGGGGAAATTCAACTTTTAAGCATTCATGAAAACACAACAAAAGCATACAGAACAAAAGAATGAACAAGAGGAAGTTCATTTAATAACACATAAGTCTTTTTCAATACAATAATTAATTTCTGTGCACATGAATTATGCCATCACGTTTCTTTTTAAGGGAATTAACAGAAAACCAACAGCGCCCGAATGCTGCGCGACCCAAATGAGCACAACGGACATCTCACTGGAGAGGTGAATGGTGCACAGGAAGATCCTCTCGTGTGTGTGGATTCACTTTGGCAAAAATAAACAGAGCGGGTGGTCCTCCGGCTCATTCACCGTAGGGCTGGGTGGGGAGGTAGGTAGGTAGGTAGGTCCATCCACAACCTTTGTAGGCCTCGTCCAACACACGATGCTCCTCAACCACCCGTCCCTTTAGTCCCTTTATGATGTGGCTGTGCTGGCCTTACCCCGTCCTCCCTGCTGCCCTCTGATCTACGGAGGACGTTTCTCAGTTCCACGTGGACCTTTTACCTTTAAGAGGAGAGGAAAAAAGAAAAAAAAAGGATTTAAAATGGACTCTTGGTAAATTGAACTTTTAAAAATTGAGCTGGCAAGGCACATGACGACATATACAACAGACATTTAGGACATCACAGACTGGGGAGACATCCAGCTGAATGCAGGGGTGCATGCATCAGTGTTTTAATGCGCAGCCACAAATCAAATAATGAAAAGTAATCAAAAAAAGGAGGGTTGCACAATGCATTACATTTATTTTGTGAAGATCAGAATAGACATTAATTTGGGATGAATGAACACTAGTCCTACCTGGTTTGTGGCTGTCAGGAAGAGCTAAACAATTTCTTTAATTTGGAAAAGAAGCCCCCATCATGCCTGCTTTGCCCTGCCTCAGACCGCTTACCACTGCTGCCCCCACCTGGACAGAGATTAACACTGCGTCAGCCAGGCGCACAACTAAATCAAACTCTCTTTCCTTAACCCCCCATCGTAGAAGATCGGAGATGGACACCAAGCAAAGCAGCAGCAGCAGCAGCACAGGGACAGGCAGGTAAACGTCAGAGTGACTGTCCTCTCACCTGTGGTGGTGGTAGTGACACCGTTGACCGTCCCTTCTACTTCCGTCTCGTCCTCGGCATAGCTCGTTAGCAGAGCTCTCTGTCTGTCTGTCAGCATCCTACACAGGAAGTCAGTGTGTTAGGGTTCTTGTGATTGCAAAATAGTTTTGATCCCATTTCTCCAAGACTACAGCAAGTCATTGTATTCAATCACAAGGCCAGTGTCGCATAAATGCAGCCATTGAACCAGATGTGCGTTTGTCTGCATTAGTCTTACTTGGGTACTTTTATTTTGACATGGACATAATGGTCTCCGAAGCCATAGCCAGTGATTCGGGCGATTCCCTTCCCTGACAGACGAATCCTCTGGTCTGTCTGGATGCCTGCAGCTATCTGAAGACAAGGAAAAGATCCAGTCATGTGTCTGAAATGTTTCCCCATGAGAAGAGAAGCCTGAGAATGTGCGTGTCTACTTACTGATAAGTTAACGGTTTCATAAAGGCCCTGTGCTCGGGCCGTGCCGCCCAGGATCGCTTGTGCCACCGAGACAAACAGGTCGGAGTGGATGTCCGCACCGTCCCTCCTGAACACGGGACTCTTTTGGACCTGGAGGCCCAACCCAGAACACATCACAGCCAAGTCAAAGAGCGCAGGCAGCTCAGTGATTCTTACTAGTCAACACACTCGCAGTACGTCACACAAAGACGACGCCATTACAGCGGCTCTGATGTGAACTCCGTGAAGAGCTTGTTTAACTCTGGCCTGTTGATGAACAAACTCACCCTAAACGTGATGAAGACCTCCTTCTTACCAACTGGCATTCTGACTGTCTGACCATCCTCCACGCCTTGAAGCAAAAACAAGCCACGGTTAGGTGGGACACACGACCGACATTAAAGAAGTTTAAAAATATGTTGAGTGTGAAACTCATTGTGCTTCTTGGTGGGCAGATTTCATGCTCAAAAGATTTCAGGTCGACTAATTTCAAGTATAAGAACATTTATTTTATTTTCTTTATGGCCATTATGATTTGTGAAGAAGTTAAACCCACAGATTAAACTACAGCCACGCCTCAAATTATGTATTTTTCTTCTAACATTTGGGAGAATATTTTCAGTTTCAGGAAAACCTGCAGCAGAGCAAACAGTTGTTGCTTCTGACTTTGGCTAATAATGCTGCCGGGTGACTTCTCATGCTCATGAATAGAAATCCACTGTATGTATTTCCAGTGTGTAAACAGTAGAGCAGACGGTTGAGTGAGACTGACCTGCGGGCACGGGAACCATCACAGTCTTCTTCTGCTTGGTCTGTCCCGCCCCACGACAGGAGACACAGGGAGTGGCGATGACGGTGCCTTTGCCACCGCAGCGACGACACGTGGAGCGCATCACAAACGGGCCCGTGTTCACCGTCTCCTGTAGTGTGGACAAAACATGCGTTACATGACACAACGCAAACAATCTTTGAAAAATAAAGAGGCAGCGCGTCGGAGCTCTTACCATGCCGGAGCCGTTGCAGGTGCTGCAGTGCTGGACTTTGGTGCCCGGCTCATTGCCTTTACCGTCGCAGCGCTGGCAGGCGGCCTCTGTGTTCACGGAAAACTCTTTGTTGACTCCCTTCGCTGCCTGAGTGAAGGTCAGCTCCATGATGTACTGGGTTGGGGAAAAAGAGAGGGTGTCAGAAATGAATCACGAATAAAAAAAAAAAAACTACTAAATGAGAACCAGAGGGGTTCTAAAAAGCCAAGTCAAAGGCCTTCCTTGACTTAACTTTCCAATTCACACTAACCCACTGACCTCCTGTGGCTGCTCAAATATGGCATTGAAGTCTCCAAAGCCACGGCCTCCAGAGAACTCCCCAAAGATCTTGCGGAAGAGCTCCTCGGGGTCCACGTTGCTGGTGTGTCCAGACCAGTAGCGCTGCCCTCCGCCCGCCTGACCGCCGTCAAAGCCCGTTGAGCCGTAAGCGTCGTACTGCTTCCTCTTTCCTTCATCACTCAGCACCTGAGAGGAACACGGAGCAATGTTTTAGAGGTGCATTTGTAATTCTAATGCGATTGTTTAAACGGGAAGAGATGAATATTCATAGATTTTAATTAAAACACATAAGATCTACAGTGCAAGACTAAACCTCGTAAGCTTCGGCCAGCTGAGCAAATTTTTCCTTGGCTTGTGGGTCTTCTTTGTTGGTGTCAGGGTGATACTTTTTGGCCATCTGAGGGACAACAAACACACCGTCAACCGCTGTGAGGACTGGTTAACTGAGAACCAATGCAAGCTCTGAATACACGTCCGGCTGGAGCAGACCTGGTAGTAGGCCTTCTTGACCTCTTTCTGGGTGGCTGTGCGAGGAACGCCGAGGATCTGGTAGAAGTCCTGCTTGCTACGAGCAGCGGCACTTGTGTGAAAGGACAGCCTGGAGGCAGCATGTGGAGATTTGATGCCTGAAATGTGTCAAAACAGGGGAAAAAAGGGTAAGTTAACACCACTTAGAACAGTATGGCTGCTTTATATTATGTCTCATCTGAATGGTTATTCACTGCTACTGAAGGTACTGTAGACAAATCAGATGACAGGCCAGCAGTTAACCTGATTTGCAAGAAGATTTCTTGAAAATACAAACGTGTGTAAAACTGACGATGATTCTCTTGCACTTCCGGTTAAAATAAGGTGAAACACTGTTAAAATCTGGCATCACCTGTTTGCAAATTCAACTTGATGACTGCAAACTGAAGTTAGCAGATCTGATTGCATAACATACCATAGAGACTCTCAACCCTGCGTGTGTGAAAGCAAATGTATTTTTGTGATACAAGCTCATCTTATATTAAATGGTCGCTGTTTATAAAAAATAATTAGGTTAAGTTGGTTGTTTTATCCTGCGTCACATGAGTAAACCAGACATTTAGCCTAGCCTAGCATAGGCCAGTACCACTCACCTGACAGCCCTCTCAATGTCAACGCTTTCCCTGCTCCACCACACGTCAGGTTCCCTCCCCGACACAGTTTTTCCCCTCCCAGGGTAGATATACTGCGGACCCCTCCATGGCCTCCGCAGACGACAGCACCGACGGCCTTGCGTTGTCCAGAGGACACGAAGACTGTAATCCAGCGTGAGGAGCACCGGGCAGCCGAGGACGCCATGGTTCCTTCACTCGCCGCTACTCCTGACTCACTGCGCATGCCCGGCACGGAGTGGGCGTGTCACCCGAGAGCGCAAAGATATTCCGACTCAAGATGATGCTCTCTCAAGAAAAACGAGTTTGCAAAAGTTGATCTTAAATATTTGTTTCTTTTTATAAACTCTACTCTAAATGGGCTCTAATATATAACAAATTGGACTAAGTACACAAATACAAACATTATCAGTTTCGTAGTGTCAAAGAGCATCAGAAGTGTGAAGTATAAAAAAGGATGCGCATGTTTTAAGACCCAAGGCAGGACGTGACAGACCAGGGGTTTATCTAGCGGTTTGGAAACAAAATCACCGCCCAACCGGACAGCTCCGTGGAGCAAAGCGAGCGGCCAACGCGCGGCCAAAACTGAACTGTCAAGCTGTAACAGAGAGTCCTCTGCCGAGTACCAACCAGCTCGACAGAGACACCCGGAAGGCAGGAAAGTCAATTTTGAGAGAGCAGCATGAATCGCTTTAAGACCTCCAAATTCAAAAACACCACTCCGAAAATTGCCAAGAAAGACGTGAGTAGCTCACGAAACGTCTGAGAGGAGCGAGTTCTCCTAGCTACCGTTAGCTCTGGTTATTAGCCGTGCTGCTGAAGTTGTGTTTTGGGGGAACGCCTGCAAAGGGATGTTGAACTTCCTGCATCTGGAAGGCTGCTTAGCATCGACACAACTATCTGAACTAACGCACCGGTATTCAGGCGAACTGTAGAGAAAACTACGAGCCATGTGGTTGCACAGAGCTGTTGGCCTCATCGGGAGATGATGCAGTGACGCCCATCATCATCATGCTGTTATATTATAACCGTAGCTAACAGAGTTTCTCATTGCTTTTTCAACAAGCATGCGATGTTGCACATATGTTTTGACTGCAGAGATTTGACATACCAAAGGGAGAAATACAAAATTTGAATGGCAAATGCGATAAGTGCTATATTACTGTCTCTCAGTGATAGGCTGCAAGAGGCGACATGTCTGGACGGGACTGGAGCGTCTAGCATACAAAAATCTGCCATTTTTCTCGTCCTCTGGAACCGATTTGTTTCAGGTTGCACCGACTGCAGCTCTCCCTGCTGAGGTGGATTATGTACTCCTCTACCTTTTTGTTTTTATTCAGGGTCGTGAAATGCTTGGTATTTACAGAGACGGTGGAGTATTTCTCCCAATCTCTGCACAGGATCTGAGACAGCAGGTGGTGCTTTTGCTGCCTTGAATGTTAAAACAGACCAGTTCCGGTGCTAAAGTCATGTGACGGGTAGCTGTCACGTCACACGCTGTAGAAGACAAGAATAATGAGAGAAGAGGCAGGAAAACGGGCTTTCAGGGATGTAAAGAGACAAGAAAGCAAAGACGAGTGGGACATTTATCCTCAGACTCTCAAGAACAGCTTGAGTCTTCCACATGGGTTGAGAGAGTTTACAGGTGTAGTCTAATTTAATCAGCCGATGCTTTCTAATCCTGGGTCTGTCTCTTTAATCCAGAGGAAAAACACACACCAGATCTGGTCCATGTTGACCCAAATGGATATATTAAGGGAAGCCTTTTGTAATATGAAAAAGTGTCGTCTTGCAGGAAATGATGCTCCAGATACAGCAATTGTATCTGCAATGCTGAAAAAGTTGTGTCTTAATGGAGAGTCATACCTGTTTGAAGTTCTGGAGAGATTTAGTCAGAGAGGAAATTATACGAAGCAGATGAGACAGCTGTGCAGGTAGTCAGCGGCATAACTAATGGTGAGGAGAATGATAATAAACACAAGCTCACATGTGGTTAAACCAGAAGAAAGGACTGTTATTTATTGGGATCATACGTTGTAACACAGCACCAGTGACGCATTTGTTGCCTACAGGTCTTTTGACATGCACATTTGTAGAATATGTAATCCAAACATGTGCATCCTTTTGGCCAAAATGTCTGTCATGGTTGGCCTGTAACAGTTGTCAGAGGAGCAGCAGCAGCGGTGGTTGTTGGAGGGCCTCTTGCTGCTCTTGCCTGTTAATGTTGAAAGAGGGTTTTTAAGAGTTATCTGCTGTGCGACGCACTTCCTCAACACTTTGCTCATTCAGAGCCACTGATGTGTGTGTGTGTGTGTGTGTGTGTGTGTGTGTGTGTGTGTGTTCTCAGATAGATCCTTCCTGTTTTATTTTTTTTATTCTGATTGAGACAGCGACTTGGTCTTGTGCGCTCCCTAATATTATGAAACAGATGCTTTTCTGTTGAATTCTTCAGTGCAGCTAGTCGGTTGAGCTCTTGTGTAGATATGTAAACACTTCTGGATTCCTGGGCTGGCCTGGCATTTCTTTTTCCTCTCTGTTATCCTGTCTGACCCCAGTCATCTATGCGCGTTATCACACCCTTGTTTCACTCGTTATGCTCCCTCACTCGTGCTCTCCGTGTCTTTTTACATCCAGGGATGGATCAACAATGTCCGAGCTGGTTCCTTGTCCTGCCAGGGGAGCCACATCAAAGCGAGCTCCAAGCTGGTGGCCTTCAACAGCGAGCAGGCTGGTAAGGCTTTAAGAGTCAAACAGAAAGGGCCTTTGGACAATGGACATTTAGTTTTGTTTTTTATCCGCACTATAAAGACTGAGAAAACAGGTTTTAAAAGTATGATCAAACTACATTTTCTGTGTCTGCAGGTGGAGGAATGCTCGGCCTGTCCTCCGTCAAACCTGGTTCAGACGGCCAATGGACGGTCACGCAGTTCTCCTGCCACTCTGGTAGTGTTTGTTAAGTTTTCACATCACAGTCCTTTCCTTTCCTCCCTTGTCCCCTTTCCTACGCACAACTGCAAGCCTCAAGGACACTCTGTTCCCTTTTAAGGAAAACTAATCATATGAGAAATACGAATGCTTTTTAAGTGTGACAGCTGTGACCCTGATCTATGTTTTTAAATATTTTCCATGTGTTTCCCCTCCTCTCTGTCAGATCTGGTGACCGATTTGGACTTTTCTCCTTTTGATGAAAGCCTCCTGGCAACGTGCTCTGGAGATGAAACGGTGAGATTTCCTCGTATGGATCTTGTTGTTGTGTACACACACATAAGTCCACGTTCCATCCTCTCAGGCTTTGTTTTTCCTGGCCCGGGGCTTTTGAATATGGATATGAACTGGCTCAGGTTTTTATGTTTTATATAAACCCTCTTTTGAAGACTCCATCCTCTCAGCACTTTATCCTCAGCCACAGGTGCCCCAGCTTACTGGAATCTGCTGAGAGCGGGTCTGCATCTTCAGCACTCAGCAGCTCCGGTTACCAAAAGGGAGCCGTGAAAACACACACGACCATTGCCACACACAGACCTCCAACACACACTGGAGTGGTCTGCAGTGCCCGGCATCTGCAGACCACTTTTCCTCATTCCTCTGATCCGTTGCCAACACGGTATATTGTTTCTGAGAGAATGCGCCTACTTGCGAAATACGAGCGTTTTTACTGAAATTATTTTCCATCTCAGCTGCACTCGTATGCCAGCATCAACAAGGAATCCAAAGTTGAACCCAAAACCCAAAATTTATGCAGTGCTGTATTACCCTTTAGCTCAAACTGCTACAGACTTGCATCCCCTCATCTCATGGCTGCGTCGCTGCATCTTGACGTTTTTAGATGCCTGCTGTTGGGATTCTTCCAGTCTGCTCCGTCCATCTTGTCTGGTGTGGCTTCATGGAGAACAGTTCCTGCGGTTTAGTTCAATTTTAAAGTGCTAACCCACTGTTTTTAATATGTCTCTCTTTCTCTCTCTCTGTGTGTGTTCAGGTGAAGCTGTGGCGTTTGTGTGATCCAGAGCAGCAGCAGCCCAGCTGTCCCGAGCTGACCTTGCGTCCCGGTCAGGGCCGGCTGGAGCTGGTGCTGTTCCACCCCACCTCTTCCGGCCTGCTGGCTGTGGGTGCTACCAAGTCCCCCCTGATATGGGACACCAGCCGCCAGGATGCACCACTAGCAGGTATCTGCAGCTGGAAAGCAGCGCACATACACACACACACACACACACACACACATTTGTTTGTTTGTTGTATGTATTAAAACGACAACCAAAATGAATTTAGTCAAAGTCTTTGTCGTACGTTGTGCACTATGTCTGTTGCGTTTGACATTTCAGTCTCTTGTCAGTTAGTCTTTAATTTCTGTTTTGTGTCTCTGTGCAACATGATTTTTATATATTTGGGGATGGAGTGGAGTGGTTTCCCTTTCTTAGTTTGGGGACAGTCTGACTGACGCTTCCTACATTTTACAGCCCTGTGGCTCTGTCTAAGTGCTGGAGCAGCAGAGGTAATGTTTTGGTTTTTCTGGTCCCAGTCTCCCCGGACTGGCCTCAGGATGCAGTCACTATCCTCTGGCCTCACCCTGCCCCCCCCCACCATCCCATGACAGCTGGCCTGGCTGCTGCTCACTGCTGATCTGACTTTTCATGAGCTGTACCCCCCCCCCACACACACGCTGTCTTTCATCACCCTCGTTCCTCATCCACATGTGTTTGAGGAGCAAGGTCTGAATGATAAAAATCTACTTTTCAATGAGTGAATTTTTTTTGAATTTTTATGTTCATTTCAAATCACTTTTTGTGCAACTGTCTTAACAAGAGCACCTCTCATCTCTTTGCACCTGTTTGGCGTCGTACTGAAACTGAACAATTCACACCAGCTGTGCTGTGCTCACTGACGGCACCGCAGCCTAGTCCGTGTCCTCCTCGTGGTCCATTCTTAAATCATCCATACTTTGTGTCATTGTGTGTTTTCTGAATTGTCCGTGCTTTTATTTATTGCTTCGTCTCTCCCCTGCATTTCTCAGATGCATCTCTCAGATGTTTTCTGTCGCGTCCTTTTCTCTCGTGCCGTCATTCTGTATCCATAGTGTCTGGCAACATGTTTTGTTTTTTTTTGACATTCTGTAATATGAACACTGTCCCTCTCTCACCTCCCTAAATGATGATGTCTGTGTCTGCAGTGCTGGAGCAGCACGGTGACCAGCTGCAGAGTCTGAGCTGGAAACGGGACGGCTCTCTGCTGGCTTCCTCCTGCAAGGTAATAACAACCCGCACTGCAGCACATGTATGTATTTATATGGACCGGTTTGACTGCTGTAGTTGCCGTTTGTGACCACTAGATGCTGCCAGCGGCTCACTTTCAGCGTAGCGTGCCTCATGTTGGAAACCGCTGCTCGCTATCTGTTTATATGGGGGTTTATTTCATCAAAAAGTCAACAGGGGTAATCACCGTAAAAAAGGGCGGGGATCGCATCACACATTTGATTAGGGATCGGCAATTCTTTAGAGGGAAAAAGAATAAACTTTGAAAGCCCTGTGACGTGAAAGATAATAGCCAGTTTGTTTTAATGCGGTAATAATGATGACAAAGAAAGAGAAATCTTGGCCGCAGTTAATAAAAAAAAAAAGAGCCTGAGGAGATTTTCGTGGTCAGGCTGGAAACTGTATTAACTTCTAACATGGGCACCTACAAAGGTACATGTATGAAGATGCATGTCAGGCGTTTTTATGCATTCATGTGCCCCCATTCTCATCTGTGTCATCAGGAAATAATCACACAGTGTGATGGGTTTTCCATTAGCTAGTTATTAATGCTTTGTGTAGGAGGTGGTATGTGTTTATGGGTAGGGGGGGGGCAGAGAAAAAAGAATTTGAGTTTAGCTTATATTGCTTCGTGAATATGTTTGATTTATAGGAAGGGCTAGAGGCGTTTCCATGTTAGCATAATTCATTTATTGCTGTTTTTAGTCACCGATTGTGCAGCGCAGTGAAGTTCTGACTGTATTGGCGTCCTAGACGATGCACGATGAGCTTACTCGTGCTTGAGACGGATACACTTTGACACAGAAATCCACCACATGTGTGTAATTAACGGGTATGATTGTCAGTCCAACCCCTGTTGTTTGTCGTCACGCTGACAAGTAACAAATTACTCCGCCCGTCACCGGACCCCGTCCAGATCACGACATTAACCTTGACAGGATAATCATCCACGCCAGAGCTACCACCCCGACCATCAGCCTTGAAAAAGGAACCAGGCACCTGAAAGGGGGGGGGGGGGGATGGAAATGGAAATGTGAGCCAAGATCAGAGTCAGGGGCCTCTGGGGTTCTTGCCCTGTTGGGCTCTGGTGTCATTTAACCCAAAAAAGGCCCCTTTCAATCTCTCCAATCCAACTTAATAAAGCAAATATGGCCCGCCAACATGTGTGTCCAATCCCTCGGCCCTCCCATAGGGTAAACATTAGGGTGTAGGGCTGAGGGGGGGTGAAGGGGAGGCTACCACCCTAAAGAGCAGGAATCATGACGGGCCTCGTTTGGACCCAGAGAGATGTATATTTATGACATACTCGGAGGGAGAAAGGCGCCATTCATTTCAGGCAGAACGAGTGTTTATCCGAATGATGGACGGGACGGTGTACTGTGTAGAAGCGAGGCGTCGCTGGATTTATGGTCCACGGTCCACCTTGAATTAGAAATGTCACGTTCTAGCTGAACTCCTGCAGTCTCGCACTGCCAATCACAACGGGCACCGGTAACTGTGGGAGACCGGGGCTGGCATCGCGGTGTGTTTGGGGGGGGGGAGAGGGAGAGGGACAGAGAGAGAGAGAGAGAGAGAGGGAGAGGGACAGAGAGAGAGAGAGAGAGAGAGAGAGAGAGAGCGAGCGCCTGGGTGAAGATTCCCAGCGTGTGTGTGTTTGCATAAATGTGAAAGTTGTGTGCCGAAGAAAACTCATTAACAGCAGCTTGAGAATGAGGCTTCGTCACTTTGATTAAACAGCTGCTGTCTCAGCATCAGACACACAGACAAATGCACACACCGCTGAGCTGGCCCTCCATCTGTGCATTTATGAGTCGAGGTGGTGTGTGTGTGTCCTCTCATCTGTGTGTGTGTTTGCACAGCCAGATAGTTTGCCCCCTCATGTTGTTGTTTGCACAACAACACTTGGGTTGATATGCCAGTGAGTGATGTTAATATGGCAAATGTATGTTTGTATATATACATACGATATGTATAGTAGATGTGTGTGTGTTTTTGGCTATTAAGGGTAGTAAGGATTTTTGCACAGTCAGGGAACTGAAATGATGGCTATGAAGTTTGTTTTTGCCAAAAATGTGAGGGTTTGATGCTTTTCTTTGTAATACATGTTCGTAAACTAAATATATTTGAGTTGGGTTTTTAATTGTTGCTTCTACGTTGACATTTGAGTTAACGTGGGCAGTTTTAACGGTCATTTTTCACTATTTTCTGACTTTGTATTGACGAAACAATTCATTGATTGATCGAGGAAATAAATAGCAGATTTATTGATACTGAAAATACTTGTTAGTTGCAGTCCTAGTTCTACCAAAATGATTGGTCAAGTCTATCAACCAACTTTCACCACAACTTGTGAGTGTCCTGTGCTGGTGCGCTCAGAGAATGCTGACCGGTCAGAGATAGTTTTAGCCAGATTTTGGTATTGTTTGTGCAACAGGTGTGCTCTTATCCGTGGGTCTTGTGGTTTGAAAGTGTGTGTGTGTTGTTCTGGCACTGGTCCCTGAGCCTTGAGCTTAAACCTCAGGTCACAGAGGCCTCAAGACGTCGCCTTGGGGCATCACATTCGTGGGTGGGCAGCTACACAAACAAAGAGAGAAAAAACAAAAAGCACATTAAGAATCCCCCTGTTTGCTATTAAAGCTAATAAACAGCAAATAAATCCCCTCCTGGATTGCTGTAAAGAGCGGAACGAAGAGAAGCTGAAGCTCACACTGATCATTTGGATACAGACTGATGGTATAAAATGTGTGTGTGTGTACGTGCTTGACTGTGTCATTGTCAGCCTCCTGATTGGCTCTGACGTGTATATGTGAGTTGGGTCTGTGCTTGGTTTAGTTTAAGTCCTTTATGCTTATTACCTGCCATCAGCCCCGCATGTCTGCTGTGATCACGCGGCGGTGTTGAGTGACACGGCTGCAGACACGCATGTCCTGGTCACAGCCTGGTCCCATTAGGCCCCATTTCCTCCTCGTTCATGCAGGAGGCGCTCTGATTGGCTGCCGTGATTGATGCCAAATGCGCGTTTGGGTCTGACCGGGGTCAAGACTTTGGAGAGTTCACTGGGTTGCGTTTGCCAGCGATGAATCAGTCGTATCACCCTGATAAATGGCGAAACTTCAGAGCGCTCGTGTTCTTCTTTAACTTAATTATACTGATGTGGAGGCTCTCTTTTATTGATGGTTTTAATATGTGGCTTTCATATTTCAGTTTTCCATTTAAGCTTCATTAGAAAGATAAATACAGCTAACTGAGGAGCATTTAAAGCCTTTCCCCTTTCGTTGTGAGAACTTTAAATCTTGACTTTGCACAACCTCTTTAATTCTACAATTAATTAATCTGTTTATCAGGTACGCCTCACTAAAACTAATGCAGTTAAATACAGAAGTCCTGCAATAAATCCTTCCCTCATGAAGGTTGTATTGTTTAGCTTTTGAAACTGGAGAGGGGTTGATTCAACTGTCTGGTGTACATGTATGTTTTAAGAATGTTGTGTTTTGTGTCATCTGTCTAGGACAAGATGCTGCGAGTGTTTGACCCCAGAGCCCAGCTGACACCTGTTCAGGTAAGTCCCCTAATAAAGCCCTCATACTGCCAAAACAGGGAAATCAGATGCTGCTATCCAGCCAGGGTCGGAAATTATTAGTATTATCCTCACCTGCCACTGTGGCCGGTCACTGAACATTTCTACTTGCCATTTAATCTTTTGGTCTGTCACTTCTGAAATCTCAATCCATGTGTATTTAAAATGTAGGAATAGCTTTTTAATAATAATATTTCTTAATGTAAGGAAAACCTATCAAACTTAGTGGCAAGTTTCTTGAAATTTTTCCCTGCCAAAGACACTATTTACCCTGTTTTTGGCAGGTGGTAGATGCTCATTTCATTCTCTGCATCCAGCTTAGGAAACCTTTTATTTAGTACGGACAGAACTATATATGCAAGGAAAACAGTGGGGAAAAATAGTCCCCGTCCCTCCACTGCCATTTACTGCGAGTGATAAACATGTTGACGGTAACCCAGCTCACCACTAGCCGCTCTCTGTGATCCCTCTACTATTGATTTATGGATGTGCTTCACACGCCGCAGTCGCTGCGCTCCTCTTCCCACGGGTGCCCATCCCTCACTAACTGACCATGAACCTCTCCACTCTCACCGCTCTGTCCTTTCCTCATTGGAAATCTCTCACCAGCGACAACCAGGCCTGAGCCACTAGGACTCCAAGTCTAAGGAAGTGGACCGGTAGAGTGTTTGTGTGTGGAGGGGGAGATGAAGATGTGAGGGGAGGGTGGACGAGTGTTGTGAGAGGCCGGTCAATGTAGAGCAAATATTCTCACAGCTTTCAGTGGTGGACCTCCCAGGGTGTTTTGATTACTGAGATGCTCGGTCTGCCTTTAGGCCGAGGGCTCTCTCATTTGTAAATATGAGGAATCCTGCAAAAACACTACATGCCGCCAGCAGATTACATTTTAGACCACAGAATTACCTGGAAGGCCCATCAGCGTGTATAGGAGGAGGATTTATCCTTGTCTCTGCATATGATTTTTTGTGTGTGTGTGTGTGTGTGTGTGTGTGTGTGTGTGTGTGTGTGTGTGTGTGTGTGTGTGTGCTCTCACCACGTGTTGTTTGGAATGTGTTTTTGAAACTTTGACACCTCCATGAAAGACGTACTGTTTTCAGAGGTATGTGATGTCATTGACTCTTGACAGGGAGGGAGACAGCAGTGTGTTTTTTTTTGTTCTTCTTCGTGGCGTCCTCGGAACTGTACGTCTACACTATACAGAGTGCGAGTACAATGCATTCGCTGTCTGTGTTTGTTCTGAGTAACATGAGCCGAGTCGGCGGGCTCCTCTGCAGCGTTTGAACCTGGATGTTGACATCAGGTGCGTCAGTGTTGGAATCCTTTCTTTAACACGCCGCCTGTTTGACTTTTCTCCATTGCAAAGGCTCTGCCTCTTTCTCACCAGACGTGCAATGCGGACATCAAGCTCTTCAGCAGCGCTCCACATCGCCTGAATAAATGCTGTCCTCGGTCACTCCGCGTAACAAATACAATTGCACTGAAGTTTGATGTAAATCCCTTTTTTTTTTTGCAGACTAAGGGTCTCATTAGTTTAGCGTCTCCAATTGGAGCCCAGTGGTTACTGGTGGTGGGGATGAGCTGCTGGGACATTCCAGCCAATTCTACGGTATTTCTGACTTCATTAGATCGCTGTCAGTGGTGAGCAACAGACTGAAAGAGGAAAAACATGCGACAAAGTCCAGATTTAAACCCAGCAATGTGTTTTAAGTTCCACAACTCCTGGGCTGCCTGTACTCTGCTCACAGTACAATATTAAGATATTTTACTTTACTTGAGTATTTTCAGTTCTGTGCTACTTTTATTTAGACTACCACTTCACTACACTTCAAATATTGTACTAAACTACATTCCACTGGTGTCTATAGTTACTTCTTAGACTTTTCAAATAATATAACATTTGACAACATAACAATGAGAGGTTGATGCCAGGCTTTTACTTGTAACTGAGTATTTTTTTACATTATTGTACTACTACTTTTAGTTCTTCCACCACTGCATGCCGTGAACTGTCCCGGGCCGTGATTCCACAAAAATTTTCCACAAAACAGTTTTGTATACCTTTTGAGTCTGTGCTGCATGTTTCCTCATCACTCCCCCAACAACAATATACTGACTTCATTAAATTAATAGAGGTAGGTAATGAGGAAACCGCTCTGTCATCACCACTTGTCATCATTCAGCAGTACACCTGGGGGTTGCTGAGAGATCTGTGTGTATTCTTTTATTTAGTGTGTAACCACAATGACAGACGGGCAGAATGAAGTTGTTTTTCTTTTTTTGTTTAGTTTAGTTTTTAAGCCAGCTCTCCTTTTTATACAATCTCTTTTGTCTCTTTCTCCTTCTGTCATTTTCAAACTGGGTCTTAAGGCAGAGCCCGCAACAAGACAAGTGGTAAAACTAATAACAAAAAAGTCAAGTGATGAGTGATTTGCGGTGTAAAAAACGGTTGCTGTAGACCGCTGTTCCACCAGGACACAGAGAGACCATTGAGCCACGTCTGCTGGTCTCTCTGCTCTCTTTCTCTCTCTCTCTCTCTCTCTTCATTCCCACCCGCTCATTAATCCTTCTGGTCTCACTGCCACAGAGAGGAAGACCGAGGAGGGAGAACGCCTGAGTCAGCACCCCACACATGGCTTCACCACCTCAAACCAGAGAAGAGTTAGGACCCAGATCAAAGTTATCAGAGGGTTGCTCTTCCCTTGTTTTAGGTTTAAAGGGTGCTTAGGGCGATGAATCCTCAACACCATGAGGCCAGTCATTTGGATGCACAGAATAGAGTGAAGCTCTAATTTCTACACGGACCAGCAAAGCAATGTTCAACACCATGAAACGCAATAATTCCACATTGTCTCAGCGGTTACGCTGGAGATTCCTTTGTTTGTTCCTGATTCGAGGCCACAGTGAAGCGCTGCCATTTTCTCCGCTTTTGCATTTTGCTCCGTTTGTTGTTGTAGATGCGATGGCAGGGAAAAGCCAACCTGGCCACAAAGTAATCACAAAGGGGCGGATAAGTGTCCAAGCTATTTGGATTCGTAACCTCACTTAGAGTTCTGTTTGGCCTCTTTTACATGAGAGCCACAAGTCTTCTCTTTTACAGGATTTCTGGAGAAGGATATCTCACACAAGCTGCGGGGCGTGAAAGTGAAGCGTAGTAGTTCTCGCTTTTTGGAGGTGGCAAGAACAGCGGGACACAGCTCATGTGCGTCCACTGTTGTCCTGGTTCCACCCGTAGCAGTGCAGTCGAGTGGGGCTGGCTCATCCCTGTGGCCAGCACTGAACCGGCTTCTCCCCTAGCCAGGTGGGGTAAATATAGGCCCTAATTACAGCCTTGCCCTTGCCGTATTTATGGGAAATAAGACGGTGCCGGGTAATTAAGTTCTTGGACAGGAGGAGCAGTGTATTCTGCATCTGTAATCAGTGCAAGTGTGTATGTATGCATGTGCGCGAGCCTGACGGCGGTTGCATTTAGATGGTTGGCACAGAAAGAGTGTGTGTGTGTGTCCCGTACATGTGGCATCCTGTCCCACCACTGAAGAGTAGATTGAATTTCAGATTAGGAGATAAACAAACAGAACTCCAATCTGTCCATAAATAAATAAATAAATAAATATCTATCTATCTATCTAACACACACACACACACACACAGCAAGCATAGAATCAATCACACACACACACAGCAAGCATAGAATCAATCAATCAATCACACACACACACACACACAGCAAGCATAGAATCATCAAGCACCAAAGATAAACATTATATGTAAGCTGTTTTTTTGCTATTCTGGGTTCTGCCCTCCTGGCCATAACTCCCTACACAGGCCTCTTGTTTTCAGATGAGTTTCTTCCCCGTCTCCATGTAGTTAGAGGCCTCCGCCCTGCTTTCCTGTACTGAGCTCAGACCCAGCACACAAGGAGAAGAAAGACCTGATCCTCATGGGACACGCTGTTTCGTGGACACGCGCCTCATTGGGCATTTGTGTCTCCCCCTTTCTCCTGTGTTATTGTATCTTTTGATCTATCCCCAACGGCCGCGTATTTGCCGAGTGCGGGGTTCTATATGCGAGTGCGTGTGTGTGTGTGTATACCATGTGTGCTTCAAATTACAGGGCTGAAAATACGCCTCATAGTTTCGGGCCGGTGCTGGCCGTCGATCTGCGGTCTCTGGAAGTGGAGGGAGACGGGGAAAAAGGGAATAGTTTGCTGACTCGGGGGGCCAGATTCCTCTTTTTCAGCTCGAGCTTCTGCTGCTTCGGGTGAAATTAGAGAGGAGCAGGGGCTGGAATGGGTTTGGGCTTGTTGGGCTGGGCCAAGGAAAAGCACAGCGGTTTCACTGCTAGAGGTGGCTGAGAGCAGCCATTCATACCATCTTTTATATCCTGCCATAAATTACACAGTCTGCACTCACTGGTAGGTGTGTGTGTGTGGGTCTCTATATTTCCCATTACTGGCAAAATTAACTTTGTTTATACATCTGTGTTATCCATGTGTCTGAAGTCTTATGATTGGAAAAGGGAAGCATGCAGGGAGATGATGTGAAGTAAAAGAACTTCATTTTAGTGTTTGCCTCTTTAATCGACTGCTTTTATTGTATTTCCTCTTCTTCTGTGTTCGCTTGTGTATCTCTGTGTACAAGAAATGGAGGAATACGCTGAACTGAACTGCTTGTAGTATGTTTTCTTCTACTCGACAGGTGCTGCTGTCCAATAGATGTCAGCTGTGATATCTGTACTGAAGCCACATCGAGCAGATTTTATTAGCTGATATTTGGTTATCACAGATACTTAAATATATATATATTTTTTTATTAGCCATATGTTTCAAGGCTGCATTTTATGTATATTTTACTGAAAAATGGCCTAATTTAAGTTGAGATGTTTTCATTTGACTTTCTTAGTTTCTTGAACGGAGCTGTATTTAACATTTAATAATATTCTGCATCAAAACTACTGCATTAAATACCCAATTATTTTTTTAAAGT